TTGTTCAAACTTCCCTAATGCTCTAATACCAATTTGTTGTGCATACTAGACCGAAAGCAAACACAAATAAAACACAAACAACAGATTTATGTGGTTCCCCAAAATCGGGTACGTCCACGGAGACAGCAAATTGTATATTATTGGAGGAATGATACAAACACTCAACTCAACCCAATACAATCCCATAAAACCCGATGTTTCACTTCTGAACAGAGAGCCTGCAGCTTAATAAGAATCCAGCCTTCTGAAGATACCACAACATCATAGCCATGCCACAAATTCACCATTCCTCGAAACTCCCTGTTTCACAAGATCAGCAGCCATGTGATCTGCCTCCCTCTTGGTGTGAAAGAAAAAAACAGAACCCATAGCTGAAGAGAATTGAGAAGCCAAAATGAAGAGTTCATTACGGTCTATTACATGGTTTAAGCATCCGAGTAACCACATTAGCAGAGTCAGATTCTACAATAATGTTTCTTCCAAACATATCTTCTCTTGAAGAAGATGTTGTGCATACTAGACCGAAAGCAAACACAAATAAAACAATTCAGCTTCATTAGAATCTTTGACTCCAACAGGTATAGAGAATAAACCCAACACCATTCCATCATGATCTCTTAGAATTCCATTGCAATTTGCCTTTCTGAAAGGACTTGAACATGTATGTTTGTGTCCAAAGTAAATGAGACATCAAGATAATAAAAATAAACAACCGTACAGAGCTTGGTGGAGCTAGAATGTTAGAGATAGGCAAGCGAAGGCCTTAACATAAAGCATGAGAGCAGGGCCAACAGGAATGGATACAAGGCAGGAGCTCTTAAAGATGGCATGAAACAGAGCTATGTTAAACAATGTGATTATGTGGCCATATTTGGTCCTGATTTTCAGCCTGAACCTGACTTTCTTTGGCTCACCATACCATTTCTAGCTCACAACCCGAAATCGCTCTTGTTCAAGCTCGTTGGAAATTCTGTAATCTTGATTGCGATAACTAATTTTGACATCCTTAATTAAGCTAATCAATGAGGTCTAGTATATAATTAAGTTGATCAAATTACTTTTCTGGGGCGTGGCTGGTTTTTTGCAGTCAATTCCAATGAGTGCTTGATGACAAGAATGCATGAGATGTCATTGGATTACCATTTCACTGTGGAGCAAGAAATGGGGTCTGCAACTTATCCGTCCTTTCTTCAACATTCTTAACAAAGCCATCAAATCCTAATGTCCAAGGAATCTTAATGCGACATTGGATATATAATTGGTGCAGTACCGCCGGCTTCTGGTCATTTTCAGCAGAGAATGAAGCTGGAGGGTGGAAGAATCGAACAACGGTACTGGAGGATATGGATTTGGCTATCAGGGCTAGTCTCAAAGGGCGGAAGTATCACATATAATTTTGTCTTAATTAAATGACATCCGATCAAAAAATAAAAAGAAAAAGAAAAAGAAAAAATCCCATATATATATTTTTTAATTTGACTAGGTTAATTTTCAAAAAAAAAAACTTGACTTAAAACTAACTTTATATTAACAAGTCACCAAATCTATTTGTTAATATAGGCTGTGATGAGTTTTAAAATCTAATATATGTAGGAAAAAGGATGATGAGTTGGATAATTGACTGATTTTTTAGTTCAGTTAATTTAATTAATTTTTTATAGTCAAGATATTTGATAACTTAATATAGAAAATCAAGAGAATTGATAATTAATAACAGGTGATGCTTGATAAACTAGTTAACTAGTAATTATGATAGAAGCAAGTGGTGCTCAATAGTCATGGTAATAGCAAGTGGTGCTCGATAAATTAGGTGCCTGATAATCATGGTAGTAGTAGGTGATGTTTAGTAAACCAGATGACTTGTAGTTACTACTTACAAATGATTTTTATACACACACACACACATATACATACAGGGATTTTTTAATGATAAAATCTCTAACTATGTAGAGAGGAAAAATATAATAATATTTTATAGAGATAAACCCTTAAAATATATATTTTAAAAATATTAAAAATAAAGAGATTATGCATATTTAACTTCAAGGATTTATGGTATATTTATTATTTATGAATCTTGCTATTTTGTGAAGAGAAAATATTAAAGTATTATAATTTTATTTTTATGATATTTTAAATTATATTCTACATAAAATAATACATATTATATTTATATAAAATATTAAAAAATCCATACTAGATCTAAAAAAATCTATTTTATATGGATCCATTTTGTTGCCTTCGATGACCATGATTTTTGTGATTGCTTAAGGCGGAAGCTTGTTTATATTAGTGCCCTCAAAGTATCACATATAATTTGGTCTTAATTAAATGACATCCAATCAAAAAATAAAAAGAAAAAGAAAAAAAAGAAGAAAAAATCCCATAATTTTTTTTTAATTTGACTAGGTTAATTTAAAGAAAAAAAACTTGACTTAAAACCAACTCTATATTAACAAGTTACCAAATCTATTTGCTAATACAAGTTGTGATGAGTTTTAAAATCTAGTATGCGTGGGGAAAAGATGACAGTATTGGATAATTAACTGATTTTTTAGTTTAATTAATTTTTTATAGTTAAGATATCTGATAACTTGATATAAAAAACTTAAAAAATTGATAAATAGTAATAGATGATAGCTGATAAACCAGTTAACAAGTAATTATGACAATAGCAAGTAATGTCTGGTAATCATTGTAGTAGCAAGTAATGCTCGGTAAGTTAGGTGCCCAGTAATCATAGTAGTAACAGGTGGTGTCTCGTAAACTAGATAACTTGTAGTTGTACTTACAAATATTTTTTTTTATATAGATATAGGAACTTTTCAATGATAAAATGTTTAATTATGTAAAGAGAAAAAATACAATAATATTTTAGAGAGATAGACCCTCAAAATATACATTTTAAAAATATTAAATACGAAGAGATTGTGAATATTTAACTTGAAGAATTCATGGTATATTTATTGTTAATAAATCTTATTATTTTACAGAGAAGATGGGTTAAAATACTACAATTTTATTTTTATAATATTTTAAATTATAT